GGGAAGTTCGGAAACCGTGGAGACACTCGTAACAAAGATCCTTCGCGATCATTTCGATTTGAGTGCGTTGGAGTATCAGATCACGGCTGCAGAGAAATCTCTTTCGCCCTCAATCGTGGAACGTGCGAAAGAAAAAATCCACGATGTGAAGGAAAAGTTAACGGGCGATCATACTGATGGTCATGTCCACCATTATGGTGGGCACCACTCTCACAACAAAACGGTGTCTCCGTAGTGATATAAGCGGACGCCAAATCGTTGACAAACTTTGAAAAGAGTTGCCTTTACTGGAATGACAGTTAGGTATTTGACGTGCACAACATATATATTGACAGTAATAAAATTTCTTTCGGACCGAATAATTTGTTTTGTTTGTTGTTTCACGATCAGATAAATTTGTGAGAACGAACTAGCCTACTTTTCTACATTCTTCCGTTGACTTCTTGAAATGTCATTTCGAATTAAGAAAGCTGAAAATACAGTAGACTTTTCTTAAAGCCAACGTACCGTTTTTTAATGACCCGCATGGTCTTTGTACTGCCATAACGTTTGCTCGGTAATCAGACCCTCTCACTTTACATCAATTTATTACTTCCATTTTCGTGGATGGCCTTAAAATAAGCGAATCGCGATGGACAAGCGCCATGACAGTAACAAAGACCATGCGGGTCATTGAAAAAACGGTGCATTAGCTTACAAAGTTTACTCTTCTAGCATTCGAAATGAAATATCAAGAAGTCAAAGGAAGAATGTAGAACAGTAGGCTAGTTTGTTCTCACAAATTTATCTGATCGTGAAACAACAAACAAAACAAATTATTCGGTCCGAAAGAAATTTTATTACTGTCAATATATGTTGTGCACGTCAAATACCTAACTGTCATTCCAGTAAAGGCAACTCTTTTCAAAGTTTGTCAACGATTTGGCGTCCGCTTATATCACTACGGAGACACCGTTTTGTTGTGAGAGTGGTGCCCACCATAATGGTGGACATGACCATCAGTATGATCGCCCGTTAACTTTTCCTTCACATCGTGGATTTTTTCTTTCGCACGTTCCACGATTGAAAGCGAAAGAGATTTCTCTGCAGCCGTGATCTGATACTCCAACGCACTCAGATCGAAATGATCGCGAAGGATCTTTGTTACGAGTGTCTCCACGGTTTCCGAACTTCCCATAATACCGCCACCATTGTCGTCTTTGGTCTGAAACATCCCTTTATGGTGGTTCGTCGTCTCATGCCCATGCATGTTATTGAATAATCCACCCTCGCGTTCAACCTTGTTGTCAGAGTGTCCACCAACGACAGCATCGATCGTACCTTTCACACCCATGCGTTGACCATTCTCTCTGTCGTAATTGCGAGCCGATATCTTGAGCGAGTCGATTGCCTTGGTCGTCGCTTCCTTCATGTTCCGAGCTGACAAAATCTCCGACTTGTTCGGTTTGTGATTCGAGGCGATTCGATGGCCCACATGTGTCAGCTCCGATGCCATATCCTTCGCAGTGCGCATATCGCTGCGCATGTAGGACGAAGCCGTGTTGATGAAATGGTTGCCATTGCGACTATCGTATTCGGACAAATGCGTCTTTAGCAGCTTTAAACACGTGGATGTGTCTTTGGCAGTTTTTTCAAGAACTTCCCCTAGCTTGAAAAATTCACCCTCGCTGGCAATGTGACGATCGCTAGATTTGCCCATAGTGTATTTGTAGTTTTGCTTTGATAATTAAAACGCTTGTGTTGTCGAGATCGTGTTGTGAAATGAGGTAGTTCAGGTCGTCCGACTTTGAATCCGACATATTTATCGAAATTGAAGAAAGGCATTTTGTCCGACAAAGTCCAACCTAAGATTGTCAGATCCCAACAATCTCCCACGAAGGTTAAACTTTTTTCTTTGCACACCCATCAAATTTACTGGCCTTGAATAATTCTTCTATTACCACATGCTTCAACCATTCTTATGAGAAAATTTCTGAAACCCGGTTGCCAATTAATATTGGAGCAAGGCAAAAGCATGAAGCAGATAATAAAACTGACTAATCCATCGAAAAAGTTGAGATCCCAACGGTACCAATGGTGCATCCAGTTAGCCCATCTATAAAAGGAAAATAGCTTAAGAAGTGATATCAATTTGATAAATTTCAGACAGTTGAGCATCAACTCGCGCTGACAGGTGTAACCATGCCTTCAGATTGCGCGATGTCGATGTCAAGCTTTGGCGTAGGACAGTTGAGCCTCACAATTTGGATCTGCAGACTGATACCATACTTGATAAGTAATGGGTAGTCAACACATATTGGAGTAGGGACGTTTTTGTATTTGCTGTGCATACGTTTAAACATCACCCCAAACATCTTGGACTTGGTATAGGCTAGAAAACAGTAAGTTATTTCAATTCAAGCGAATGTTTAGCTTCTGTCAGTTATCCAGGGTTGCTGGACGCTAAACTGCCATAAGTATTTGTCACCGAATTTAGATTCTCCCGTTTAGTTTTACAACTGTTATATTATTGCAGCGAATGGTTGTTGTGTAACGGAAATTGGGTTGATCCGAAAATAAGTGTCACTTAATATGACGGAGCATTGAACATTTAAGCGGGTTTCATTAAACGAAGCATTGAATATAATGTAAATTTAGTGAACCTTGCTGGCAACACCTCATCATTTTATAACACGACGATTACATTCCGTGACCTATTTAGTTTACGATCTGACGACAAGTACGCAAATAGCATTCCCAAAATTCAAGATTAGGATTATTGGATACTCGTTCATCCAAGTTTTCTAGTAATACTAACCTGTCGCAAATAAATCTCATATACTCGATACACAATATTTGCCCCAAAACACATAACCACACATTCATCATGACACACATCTTACTTATGCAAATTTGTGAAATCAATCAAAATGATTTTGCGACTCAAAGTTAAGACAAGCGCAATGGATCAAACATTATGCTGGTTTTGCGATAGAGCTTATGTGCAGCCGTGATCTGGTGATCAGGCTCTACAAATCATATTAATTGTCACGAGATCACTTACAGCAGCGCCAACCATACCCTCGATACCCGTGCGCTACTTCTTGTCGTGAATGCGAATTCTCCAAATCTTTTGATTCAGCGGGTTAGATAAACTCAATTGCCCTGTACTTTTCAGTGAACTTTGCTTGTAGTCTGGGTGAATAACGTTGCGACTGTTACCTGGTCAAATGCTTTGTCAACTATTTGAGATAGGTCGAATGGATCATACCAAAAATATTCGGCCTTGAGAATTATTGATCGTTCATAAAGAAGATATTTTAATGGTATGTTGGTGCTTGCTTGACTTAAAAAAAGACGAAATTTGAGGCAGGGTCGGTGAACGAGAATTCGAGTTTCTCAGCAATTTCAAAAGCCAGCGTAATTAACGGCACGAAGACATGGTTGGCTTTTTCTCTCCCAACATCTAACGGACACCCATATCACCAGATGCAAACCCCCGCTCATTTGTAAACGTGTTCACTACAGAGAAAGTTTAGTCATGACAATTTCTGGTGACCGCACTGCAACAAAACAAGTGTTTGCTAAGCTCGAGCAATTGCTGATTCAAACAGCAGATGATGCAGTTTACCGCCTTCAGGGTTTAAAAGGCAATCTTAGTGAGTTTGATAGTCGCCATAAATTGTTTTTGGTCAATACGTCAAAATTTAATCTCAGAAGCGATATTCGAACAACAAAAGATTCGACCTCTGAGCTGCGAGCTGCGGCTAATCAGATCGCCGATTGTAAGAAACCGACCGAGTCAGAGATAACCGCGGCTCGTAGTGCGATGCATGCAACGGTCGACGCTTTAAACGATTTGGCGCGTTCTGCTCGCGAATTTGACAAAAAAGGTCACAAAGTGAAAGGCGTCAGGGGCGTCGTGGCAGGCCTATTCGGGTCTAACCAAAAGTCAACAGAAAAGCCAAAGGAAAGTATTTACGATGACCCAGTTGATGTGGACAACCATAGGGTGGGGTCTGATGGCATCCTGCGAGCTCCCAATACGGCGGAAGAAGTAGTTGCTTCAACATTAGGCGACTGCTTTAGCGGATTCAAGTCGTTGCAACATCAGATTGCAATTGCAGAGAAAGCGCTATCACCAATGTTTGCTGGGCAAATCAACGAACTCATATAACTGCGTCTAACTTGTCATCTGCTTTTGCACGCTAAACAGCGTGGGGCATGGCAAGTGGAACTAATTGGACTTTTCGTTTCGTTTGGTAAGACAGGAGGAACATACTAGTATTTTAGTATCTCCTAAAAAAAAGAGCTTAAATACAATGTGGTTCTAATTTTCGAACATACAAAGCGTGATTATGTACAAAACAGCTCATTCATTCATCTTTCTCTGACTAAAACTCATGGCGTTTCATAAGAAATCACCTTGGGCTTCCTTTGTGATATATCAACGATTGCACGAATTTTTTCAGTATAAAATGATTTTGCTATCGCAGATTCGAAGTAATTGTACGCATTGGGGTAAATTATGATAATTGCTAGTGAAATGACGATTGCATTCAGCCACCAACTTTTTTCGCGCGATAGGCCATCGGTATAAGCTCATTGCCGAAGGGAGTAGTAGAATCCTACTGCAGGATAATGTTACCAGTATTGTTTAAATGTCGTCCCGAAATGGAAGTCAGTCTAGTTTCCATGGCCATCGATATCTGCATCGACGCACGTATTTATCATAATCGCGTATTGCGCTACTCGTACACCGCAAGAGCTTTCTTGCTGAAGCCTTAAAGATGTGGTCAGTCGACAAACTTTCCGTTTTTTTCGATTCAACGATGTTTGGTCGCACTTTTTCTGTTAAGCCTTTCGTTATACATTTACTTTCAGTTTCATTTCATTAAAAACCTGATGTAGCAGCGTCCATAGCGAAGGCACAATAACGTCTCATCGGTGCTATCACCACTCATGGTTTCATATCCGTGTATATATGTGCGTTGTGGCTGCTACGTTTGCAATCAATACGATTATCGTTCTCGTCGAATCTTGAGAATGTAGGAGTTTAGTCCAAAGCAAAACCCACTTTTCCTTTTGCTTTGCTCTTCATACTGCGATAACATTCAATTCATTGAAACTAGTGCATTAGCATGTTGTCTTTCAATTCAAGAGCTCGACAAGATAGGGAGGTAAATCCATTGCTTCAGACACACTCTGCCCCACTTTCCAATCCAAAATCTAGCAATCGCCTTAACCGATGGAGTATGCTGACAGTCGTCGCGACGCTACTTTTCACTGCTGCCGTCTTCGGTGTCTTTCAGTCTCGCGTGACAACTCTCCGAAGCGCGACGACAATTGCTGCTGACGTCAAGTTTGACTTATTTCAACCCATTTTCAACGCTGAAGCTCCACCACAAAGCCTTTTTAATCACACGGACGAACAAAAGAACCTGCTACCACCTAGATTTTTAGCTCCAGGTATTGAAGGCTCACGTCCAATTCCAACGAATGACTGGTGGGGCAACATGATTGGCGCCACCACTGGCAACGAAGAGATTGTACAGCCCGTGTGGACTAACCCATACAGCGTGACACCTTCTCCATTCAAGGAACCTTTCGGTCTGACACTCAACTACCCGTACACAACCCGTTTGTTCGGAGGTGGTCTAACGGGTAATGGCGACGCTGAGATGTACTATCTTCATGGTCAAATCCCAGAGTTCACTTTCTCCGCTATGGAATTTTCCAGCTCCACCCGTCCGACGTTAGAAGTCTTTGACTGGGACGACCTCACCGTACACCTTCGATTTGTTTCCAGTCAGGATTCGTCTAAAAAAGTAGAGTCAACACTCGCAAGTGGTATGGCGTTTGTTACTGCTCGCTACGCTGGACTTACTCCACGCTTCCAGACGTTCCATAATATATCAACCATCAACGGCCTGGACGCTACTGAGACGGCCAGTCGTCCCTTGATAAACAACCGCTTTGTGCTCACGTTCGACAACAAAGCTACGTGGAATCTTTATTTTTCCGATCAAGTGACACTGCACTTCGATGGCCACTCTTCACTTGAAATGAAAATGCCATTTACTGGTATTGCTCGCGTCGCATTGATCCCAGATGCATCAGCTGAAGAGCAACGCGTGTTTGATCTAACGGCCAATTGCGTTTTGGATGGGGGTCGCGTTGAAGCTTATAACGACGCAGCTTACGCATATCAATGGAAGACCAGCGGGGACTGTTCAAATGGAATGCTGCATTATGCACAGGTGCACCATGTTGACACAATGGATCGGCGCTTTGCCACTGAAGCTCAAGGTGTGGCTGCACATTCCACAACGCGTGGATTGATGCAGGGAATCGTTACTAAAACATCACCTGCAGAGTGGCGTATGGTGGATCCAGTAGACTTTCCAGTCGACTTTTACCCTTCCCAAAAACCTAAAGCGAGCATTGTCGAGTCATTTGAAATCAAGGAGAACTTGATCGCCGATATTGACTCTGAGTGGACCATTGCTTTGGGTCAAAGCTATTACTTTAACGGAAAAGCTGCACAGAAGTACGCATCGCTGTGCTTGATGGCTGGAGATCCGTCCATCGTTGGTGAAGATGACACCAAATTGCTTTCTCACTGCATCAAAAAGCTGGAAGGTTTGGTGGCTCCGTTTCTCACGAATGCATGGACTAACGCTCTCAACTACGATACAATCTATCGTGGCATTGTGAGCTCCCAAGGCTTTACTCTTCACGATCCGAACGTTGATTTTGGTAACACAATGTACAATGACCACCATTATCATTATGGTTACTGGGTTGTCACAGCTGCCATCATTAATAAATTAGACCCAACGTGGTCGGGCATTCCAGCGCTAAATCGGATGGCTGGTTTTCTTGTTCGTGATGTTGCGAATCCATCCGATGTAGATCCAAATTTTCCCAAATTCCGAAGCTTCGACTGGTTCCGTGGACACTCGTACTCACACGGCATCACGGCACTTGGCGATGGAAAAGATGAGGAGAGCACATCAGAAGATATTAACTTCTACTATGGCATGACGTTGCTGGGGAAAGTCACAAAAGATGTTCGTCTTGAAACCGTAGGCAAACTCATGGTCAAGCTTAACGCTCGTGCTATCCAAACGTACTTTTTGATTGAAGACGGCAACCGTGCTCACCCGGACCATTACCGCGACAATCGAGTTATGGGCATCCTTTTTGACAATAAGGTCAACTATGCGACTTGGTTCAGTGGTGAAAAGTATGCCATTCACGGCATTCAAATGCTCCCAGCTACAGCCGTCACAGAGTATGTACGAACGTATGATTTTGTTGAGCAGGAATGGAATGAGATTTTGTCACGTGAATCCATCGTTCAAAATGACGAATTAACCAATCCATGGCTCTCACTTCTCTACATGAACTATGCCACCGTCAACAAGGACTTTGCGCTTCAAAAATTGCGCACAGTCAAGATGGATGATGGGCTCTCCCGCTCGTGGGCAATGTACATTGCAGCTACTCGGCCGTAACCTCGCCATGGTCGACGTACTATAAACTTAAGGTGATCAAAATTAATCGGAGCCTTGCGTTGTAGCGTAATTGTCGAACTAAATTGAATAATGTGTAAGCTTTCATTTCACTTAACGTGCTTTATCAAATCGACATGTAGAAGTAACAGTGCTGTTACGGGCAAATGGACATTTCTGTTGTTAAAGTGTTATTCAGAGCTCGAAACGGAAGATATCGAGACGGTCATCAGAACACAAGGCGCAACGATCCAATACATGCAATAGTCATTATAAATTTAATTGTTTACCTTGTTCAGCCTTTAGTTTGTTGGATCGCAGCACTAAAAGCAGATCTTTTCTGAAAGATGACAGCGATTGCCAAAATCGCAAAACCAGGCATTAAAATTTGGCATTGATATACATGACCGTATGGAGATCGCAACTATTCCTGAAGCAAACTTGACGAAACAACACACTTACACTCGAGTGGGACATCTCGTGGATGCGTTTCCTTTTTCCTTCGTCAACAGAGCTTTTTGTCTTCTCATGCTTTTTGTGATTTAACTTGTCGTGTTCTGGTGCTTAAGCGTCTGTGTCCTCATGACCTCCATCAACCTCGTTGTCGAATTCGCTGGCATCTTCTATAGATAGTTACTGCATTTTGAATTTGGCAAGTCTCCAAATAATTCATACTCTTCTTTACGTGCCAACGGTTCCGATTTGACTTCTGGTATAAAGGTGTCATGCCTTCACCTGCTTTGATGACAACTATGCTTTTGGGAAATCTGACGCAACACGTCAAGCATCGAGCGAAGTTCACTGCGCATCGTAATATCGATTTCAGTAGTGCCACGACCAGTCTTAACCAACAAATCAATACCATACACAACCAGCATATTCACAAATGGAGCCAAGAATGGCAAGCGGCCTCGTAGCGCAGTCCACCGAGTTTTCTTGTTCACACCTTGTTCCAGAAGAATCTTGAAATTTGATTCATGCCCTTGACGAGCTGCTGCCGCCAATGCAACTGCCCCCAAATTTCACCCGAACAGATTGAATCACTATTTGCTTCTATACGCAGAAGTTCTCGGGCAATGGTAACAAATCTTCTATATCAAGAATTGCGAAGAGGTATTCAACCGACAGAGTTGATAATGCTTAAATTTGTGCTGGCACGGATCAATTTGACTGCTAGGTATATCAACCCATGGGCACGGACGATAAGCAGTTCTATCTAGCCACACGAAAACAATACAGAACCACGTGTGACCCCATTTAAAACAGCTCTTTCTGTTGCAAACGTCTTAAGAATTGTGATTCCTGCTTCTTTAGCGTTCAACATGTGATATGCATGGTGTAAAGGCGTCCATCCGTTGTGGGCTGGTCTAACAACTATCAAGTACTAATTACTGAGATTTGCCGTTATCCTCCTGGTTCATCGCACCGGCAGCATTTTTGCTTACCGGACTTTATCAACTAGAACAATCCTGCGTACTTCTTCGCTATGTTGACGACGCGTATCTAACGGCTTCGTTTTCTCTTGAACAAACACCTAATCGACTTAAGCCAAAACTGCATCAAATTCAGTCTTTATCTCATGATATTTGTTTCAGCAAAATGGTTTTTGCTAATCCACTCAATGTACTTAGGGTCAAGTGCTTAGTAGTTTGTGATTTTTACTTCCACCTCACGTGCTTTCCGAGCTTCATACAGAAAAATTGAGCAAAGAGAATGTTTTAAAAGCCGTAAATTGCTTTGATGTGAGCGTAGGACAGATCAAAGGCGGATAACTTTCCAAATTGTTTTCGTCTTGTACTAAATTGCCGAAGATCATTGTACTTTGATACCTGCCCAGACCTGGCTGGCTGATTTGCTTCTGCAGCTGTACAGCAAAATATTTTAAAGTCCATTTGACTTGGCGCCATGGACGTTCCGCTCAGTTTGGTACAAACAATGTTGCTAACAATCTTAATTATGACTTCCAGGAACGCTGTAGCACGTCTGAAAGCGCCACATATATCACCAATTTGTGATACAATTGCTTCGACTAACCCACCGGTGATATGACCTGTGATAATCTTCTTGACTATTCGACTTGGCGAATGGAAGGAAATGACCTAGCGCTTTTAACCGATGCGGATAGCTGTGGAGTGGATGCGATATTAAGCTTAGTACATGCAGATAGCTGTGGTATCAAACTGAGTCGGATGCTTATCAAAACCAACACGCTGGCAAAATATTTTAGTAGAGCAGTCATTGTAGCGGGCCTATCATCTGATGGTTTTTGAGATGAACATTTAGAACATATTGATGTAGTTAAAGGTATGTAGGTGCCATCAATTGTAGCCTTAACCGCATTGACCACATGCATCCCCAAAAAAGGCACATATTCGCTTTCAGCATTCGTAGCGAGCGTGCTGTTGATCGAAACCTTGTATGTTAGCATAATGTAAGCATCAAGAAGCCAAGCGAATACTAGTGATAACACCGTTTTGGAATAAGCCTGGATTAAGGTCGATGAAAAAGGAATGAGCACTTGTTGAAAAAATGAAGAAGGAACATAAAATAAGGTTCTAAGTTTGCAAGTTTATTTGCTATCTTCAAACCTGCAGTATGCTTCTTACGTTCTACAATGCGACCGTTTGAGATGAACGTAGGAAGAGTCGGAGTAAGTTATGGAGCAAAAAAAAATCGATTTGGTCAGCTATATTTTCTCGCTTAGTTTCATTGCGTCCTTGGAACCGCGATAAGAGATGTAAGCACTGTACGATTTGTCCAGGGTTGGTCAAATACTTTCACCACAAAGCGTGTAGCATCATTATGCGAGGCGCTAGAACCATCCACCTCAAACTCGTAGTTGGTGCCCGCCACAACTTGCGAGCGCACAGTCAAAATGTTGTTCACGTGAAGATCGGAATCTATAAGCGCGCGATCCAAGGCGGCACGAGATTCAGGAGTAACGGTGGTGGGGGTAAAGCCACCGAGAATCACAGGCATAATCGGTGAAATTCTCTCTCAATTTGATTTTTCTAACTGTCAAAGTCCCGTATATTAATGCAGTATAATTGTACACCCAGCAAATTTGTGAACACTTAAAAACTGTTCGTTGCCGATTCCTCTTTTTTGAACATTTTTTTGAACATGCCACCAATACGTGACTTGCGGTGACCGTCGTCACCATTCAAATTGCTGTCAGTAGGACTCATGCTTTCCGCTTGAGGCGAGTTTCCTCGAGTAATCGAGTTTTTATTTATCGAGTCTGAAATCGTTCGGCGTTCAGTACGAGACGGATCCGAGCCGATGGACACTGAAACAGAAGCCACATCGAACGACTGTTGATGGTGCTCACTTACTCTTGTCGACTTACTTGCAACACTGCAGCAATAGCATAGAGCTAATTAGCTTTATCACTCAAAATTTGCCAAGTAAAATACAAACTTACGAAGATCGACGACTGATAAACTCGTTGCTTGAACTTCCATTATCGAAAGTCGACTTTGAATCGATTGCCAATGCACGCATACGCTCAAGCAAATCATTTGAGACTCCATCAGCTTCCGCAAGATTAAGGATTTCAATAAGCAAATCTTGTTGCTGAACTCGAGCTTTAAGCTCTGCCGAGTAAACCGAGCGCTGCATTCGTAAATCTTCTTTTAACTCGACCACCTGTTTTTTAAGCTTTTTCATCTTTTCATCTTGCGACTTAATTAAAGCAGCGTGTGTGCTCATGAGGCGCAGATTCGCTTTTGATTGTTGCTTATTGTGCTGGTTGAGCGCAGCGAATGATGCACCAGCAGCCGTGTACGCATCTTTTATCTTTTTATTTTCAGCCTTGAGGTTTTCATTTTCCTGAGACAGAATTTGAATAAATTCACGGCCCTTGGTCACTTCTTTCTGCAAGTAATCGATCATGCGCTCTGAGTCGTCTAGCAACTTGCCGTCCTCCATTGACTCACGCTCTTTTCTGCTAGTTCGCCCTTTGTTTGAGTGTTGAGAAGGACGTTCATTTTCCTGAACGCTGTTGCTCGCACTACGACCAGACGAATTTCGAACGTCATACAATTCCTGCTCTAAGGACGCTTTCTCTGCTTCAATTTCCTTACGAGCACGTTTTTCGTCTTCCAAACGATGTTTAAGACGTTCAACCTGGGTCTCCATTGCATCCTGCTCCTTTCGCTCAGACAAAAGCGTGTGGTACTTGCTCACTTGCTTTTTCATCTTAAAATTTGACTGAATTTTAATCACAGCACTGCGGAAAGTGGCGTACCTCTTTCCAGATAGATGCTTGCGGTACGCAGTTTGAACCTTAATTGCACATTTATCTTTTGTCAACAGGTACACACGTTGGCGCGAACGAACTCCACGCCACAAGCTTTGCACGATGATACACTTTCTTCGTTTCTCTGTAAAGGATTTTCGAAGTATTCGGCATCGCTGGAGTGCTTGTAGTTTCGCAATTATAGTGCGAATCTTTCTTAACCGTCGACGTGCCACCCACCGACGTGCAGCATGCTGGATTAATACTGCACGGTCGTGCATGAAAATCGTGCGTCTTTGCTCAAGAAACTCCAACACATTCTTTCCAAAGTAGACAAGGCTTTTACCAACCACAAAATTTGGTCTTGTGACGAGCTCACTTCCTTGTTGCGCCCATAGATCTAGATTTTTACTGATTAGTTCCTCAACAAGCTGCTCACATGCCTCGAAAACAGTCGTCGACTCCTTTGTAGTGGCAATATCCTTCTTGCTTTTCATCATAACAAAACGACGCAAGAATTTCTCGTGTGCCATCTTATTCGGAAACGCTGTACGTGTGATACGAATCGCTTCAACGACACCAGCACAACGGAGTTGGTTCACCACTGCATCTATTTCGTAAATATTTGGGCTCTTTCGGGAGTTGGGCTTTATACAACGTATGTAGTGCACATCTGTGCTGGAAATATCGCTCATCAGTAGTGATAGCTGTGCCTTGAACTTGTAACTAACAGTTTCTTGCATAAATGTAGATGTCTTTCGACTCAAAGTACTGCGTCTACTAGATTCCATCATTGTGGCAGCATGAACAGCCAAGTCTGCGTCCGTCATAAATGCTGCATTGCAGTCATTACCGAAAACCATCGACATTAAGCTATTTGAACTCGTGCCTAATAGCTCAAATAAATCGGTTTGGAGTGAGTCTTTGTTTTTCTCGACAAACCCCTCTGCATCGTACGTGACAGGACCTGCATAATGGTGTAGTAGAAAATGCGTTTGACTCAGACGAACTCTTTCGAAACGCGGATGGGACTCTCGAATTGAAACCAGCTTCGACACGAAAGATATATCGCTGCCCATTGGACGCACGCATTCTTCATTGAGCAATGCCATGACACCCATCGAGTTTTCCAGCAAATCTAACATATCTTGATTGTCTTGATATTTGACGAACTCCCATCCTACACCTTCTTGCTGGTATTCTTCCTGGACCGTTTTAAATACGTCCAGCGTAAACTTCTGCTGCAGTTTTTCGTTTGCAAAGTTGATGCAAAATTGCTCGAAGCTGTTGTGTTCAAAGGATTCAAATCCGAAAATGTCTAGCAAATCGATGTGCAAGTACGACGGCGTGGATCCTTTCTTGTCAGCCGTATTGGAAATACTGTAATTGACTCTTCGCACTAGATAAGCAAACACGCGTGCATAAATCTCTTTTGCTAAAGCATCTCGATTATTGCCTGCTTGGTTGGCAGAAAGTGGAACGCAGTATACTTCTTGTCGTGCTTTGACTGTACGACTGCATAGCTGCTTGCTTAGTGCAGCCTCTTCTACACCAAGAAGCTTCGCGCATTGCTCGATCTCTTTCTTCTGCTGCTTAATCTGTTCAGAGGTGATGGACCCATAAAGTGATGAATTGTTTAAAGAGGCGACGGCTTGGCTAGCATCGTCTTTGTTTGATTCTAGCGGCACAAAGTCGAGCTGACCAAGACGCAAGATACCACACAAAGCACTGAAGAGTTCATTTTGTTCCACATCACTGAGGCCAATAGTAGACAAAGCATCGCGTGTTACTTGGTATCGTTCAAGATCAGTCATGCCATCCAGTATGAGATTCTCATTCTGTAAGTAGCGAAATTCTAAGGCCGAGGTGCCATCATGAAAGCCAAAATGACGCTCTCTGGCACTAACAAGCTGGTAGAATATGTGATAATTGCGTTCGCCAGCAGCCTGTGCCACGACGCGTGACTTTTCAAGTAAATAGTGACGACATTCAGCTCCAACAAGACAATTTTCGCTGTTAAATTGCAACTGTGTATACTTTCCAAACCGGCTAGAGTTATCATTGCGAATAGTCTTAGCGTTACCAAAAGCTTCCAACAAAGGATTGCTTTTCAGCACCTTTTGGACAACAATAGACTCTCCACTTTCGCCGGGATGTAGCCTATTGGCGATATTCATGGAAATACTGGCAAGGTGTTCCATCATAATCTTAACAGTCTCAGTCTTGCCCGCGCCAGACTCTCCACTGACGAGAATACTTTGAGGAATACGATGCATCTTCATCTGGTGATACGCATCGGCGCTGGTCGCGTATACGTGTGGTGGCATCTCGTCCCATGGACGCTTCGTATAAAGATCTCGGAGCTCCTCAGAATAATGCTCTTTAATCCATTGGTACGGGTTGACTGCAACCACGATTTTGCCTGTATATGTGTACGGTTCTCTAGCGTAAAAGCGTTCCCGAATATTGTAAACAATTGCAGGCTCGTGTAGATGACCTAGTTTGCACATGTCTTCAGCACCAACGCTATGTTTGGTCATCTTATCACTCGGAGCCAAAATGTTCTGCAACGGTAATGAGTCAGGCATGCCATCTTTGTTCAAGTCAATTACGCGTATCTCGGCGGGCATATCCTGGTCAAATCTGGTGGACACATCCGAGATGTCAGGCAGAGGCTGCACATACACGCGATAGACTTTTCCTGTCGCATCCACCGAATGAACTGTGGCTGGCACCCACACAAGCTTCTCGTCCGGTATGAACACACGTATCCCCTCCATTGTGTCAAGTAAAAGCGATGGTCAATTCGGTGCGGAATTATAGACCGAATGCGCGTGTCGTCAAAGTAACGATCGAATTTAATAGGACAAAGTTCTCGGTATAAATTTTAAAGTCAGCTCATACACTGGTAAATACAAAGCCGGTTTTGTGCAGTCCAGTGCAGTGAAACTGGAATGCATAGTAAATGTATGTGTGGCATCTCTCTCCCTGCATTTTGGATGTGAACAAATTGAACTGAAGTGGCTCGTCTCCACCGAGAAGGTTGAAAAAAATGACATACGAAGTTTTGTCCAGCTGTCTTGTATCAGATGGCTAAATTTTTAATTCTATTTATACAGAATATTAACCACATTACAAGTACGAGATAGTAAAAGTGGATGAGCAGCAGCTTCTGGTTGCAGCAGAACTATGCCGTCCAGGCTCAACAGTAACAAGATATAAGCCTTATTTTTCTTTTTTGCGGGGTAAATTACTACCATACCGTCTTGCCCTCTCGTTCTGTTACTATCCAATATGCCCCTCATTCGTAGTACACATCTTACCTTGCAAAAAATGATGTCCGATCAAACACTCAATCACACGACTTAACGATAGCTCTTTGGACACCGAGCTGTCGAGGAACGACAGTGAACAATACCAAATTTTGGAAATCTTTTGTAGCTTTGAATTCGATGGACTAGAGCAGAAGCACTGTACCGAGTACATGAATGCATGCATCGAATATTACAATTGCCAGCAAACAAGATAATAATTATCATATCGTCGTCACAAAATGACTGCTGAACATCATCTAATTTTAGCTTCAAACGTATTGTCACAAGTTCATTCCTTACAATTGAAATCGTCATGAATCCGCCACAGGCTACTGCACTTACTGGTCACGGTCAAATCGGCGACCTGTCGGATAGTCACACGCCAAGGAATTCATTAAGTCCATCCCATGGCGCTATCAGTTACATGTCAAAAGTCAATATTAGATTACTTACACTCATAGGTACCACTGTAAATTGGTCTCCTTCGTATCATGTGCTTGAAGTGCGTTCATAAATGATCATACATTACATTCGAAATATACCACAAACTTTTGTTACACTCTATTGTTGCCTCATCCCTAACTATTTGATGCTCAATACAACACAGTATGCCAATAACAATTTATCTTTCACTAATCAAGACTTAATACTCCACCATGCGAGTCGACTGACTGCTAGCACTACTATTGCGTCGATACTGTTGTGCTCGTCGCTTCCGCTCTCTCTGTTCGTCTTCAGCGTTTATTGATGGAACACCGTACTCACAAAGCGACACATAAGAGGATCCTCGGTCACGAATCGCACAAGGTGCAACGCTTAAGAAATTCTGCATAGCAAAAGACTCACGCAAGAAAGGCATTTTTTGCACAACTTGCAAGAGAAGCTGAAAGCTATTGCACCTCGATTGCAAGTGTGATCGGTCGTGTCGCTTCCAGAACGTAAGAAAGCCTGCATGGGGTAGTGGAGGCAGTGTAAACGTCAAGAGAGCTCGCTCGAACTTGTCTTCTTTTGTCGCTGCCTCACTTGCAACAGGGACGACCCCTCTAGGCAAGCTAGCCTTGGCCTTGTTTCGGTAGTATGCCTGTCGACTCTCAAGGATCTCTGTCAATTGGATGTACAGGTTTTTAAAATCCGAATAGCTGCGACGGATAGTATATGTTTGTAGAGGAGCGTCGTGATTTACCACATCGATGTGGTACATAACTCGCTTTTCTTTGCCACGCATGGAGAAGCCAGAGAGTACAAGGTCCGAGCACGAACTTGGGGAAGACTCAGTTGAGTGTCGACTGGAGACCCTCGAGTGTCCTGATTCCTGCGGTCTATTTTGTTGAAATACGTTAGATTGTTGCCGTCTGCGACCGAGCTTTTCAAGCTCGAGCTCGTCGTCTGTACAGCTCATGGTGGCGTTAGAGGAAGGATCGTGGGACTTGAGGATATCATCTTCGTCCAAAGGCTGCGCCTTATCTTCCGTCTCGCATAAAAGGTAAAGACTTTTATTGTTGACTTTGATCGGAGATGGGAGTACCTCTGCAGCAAAATAGGAGTCAGGCAGACGATCGACTGCCGCTTCGAGCTGCTGGCCGCGCAACTCGACAGGCTCCACCATCGACAACGCAGATTGACTTATGAGTTGAGTTGAGCAGAAGCTGCGCAGGGGCAGCTGTGGAGGGAAGCGGTTTTCATCCGCTCATCCCCCCGTCTTTGGAGCCTAGTTTCAAAGCGAATGCTTAAAAATACACTTGAAAGTTTGACTCATTTTCAGTACTCTGATTTCCCAAATATTCAAGGTGGCTGACCTTAGGGGAGATGCTGGAATGAAGTAATTCGTGCTTCTGTAATATAGGTCTTATCGATAATAACAATTACAGACGCGCCAGACACACACCTATCAGGTAAAGAACGTATCGGCTTTTTGAAGTAGTTTGATATAAAAGTCAACCCCGCATTAATTTAGCTTGGTAGGTGTAAAAGCCTGGCACTTTGGATGTTGGTTCATCCAGCTAAAATGTTGATTTGTTTGGTTGGATAGGCTTTGAGCTAATTTATTGACGTCTAGGATCAGATATTGCTCGTCGAATCTAATGTTATAACCGATCAATTGAGAAAAATAGAACGCGAGAGAGTGCTTAATATTCTTTGATCATATCTGCAAGGTAGATGCAGTACAGTTACAGTACAAACATCATCTCTAGCTGGACATGCTACATGTACCTAGTCATTCAGGTCCAATCATTAACAGCAATGTACACGTCGACCGCTTGACATGGCTTGAGCGTGCGCATCTGACAGCCAGCTTCAAAATTGACTGAAAAATTTGCTGACGCTTGGTTTGCCAGCTGCAAGCTGTAAACATCAGGATATCCATATCTAGACTCGAAACAAAGAGGCCAGTCTCTACCATTGAACGAATGAATTTCTAACCTGCCACCTCATGAATCCTCAAGCTTTATGCACCAACATACTATTGAGAATAATTTATCAAGCCCAAAATACCGTCAAGTATATACTTAGAAGTACAACCTCAATTTGTCCAATTCGTACTATCGTAGCGTATTTCTTCGACTTGCCTCGCTACGCAATGACGCTTCACAGATCGTCCATGTCTTCTGCTGATCAGCTTCGCGAGCGTAAGATGAAGTGTGAGTTGCTTAAGCTCCAACAAAGTCGGACGAATTTAATGACAACCAGTCTCACCAAAAAGCGCATTCGACAACCTCGCGTGGAGGTGGAGACGAATCCATTTTGCGCAGAGAAACAACTCGCCGATATTTACCAGCAGCTAAATTTGAATAAGGTGAATACACAAGCAAATGGCATAGCTTTACTTTGTGTGTTCTGTCTTGACTAAAGTCGTTTCGATACTTTTTTCAACATAGAACCCTCGGTTCTACTCGATATCCCTGCAGGATTGCACACATGTAGAACAAAATCCTCGAAATCATTCCAGCGTAAGCATCTTTCGTTGTATTTTGTCAGAGAAGAAAAACTGCTTATCATTTCTTCCAATTGTGATAATCATACAGTATATTAACCAGTCTGCTGACTTACTCGCCAGCTCACACTTCGATGTGCGAGCAAGAGCTGAGTTCTTCACGTCCCCACCTTCCACATCATGTATCTCGACGAGGAAGCAATTTATCGCTCCAAAATTGGTCAGTGTTGATTCCAGCAATTTGCGAAAGTCGTCTGCAAGTGAGTACAATGCTGGATTACAATGTGGGAGGATTATTAAAGCAAACACTCGACGTTCGTTTCCACCAGGCCACGATCAATACAGGTGAGCTGCTTGATTCTCTCTCATTGGGCTTGACTTAAATTTATAAATTACTTTTTGGGCGTGTTTCACAACTCAGTGTTCCTTTAACATCGCATGGCGCATCTTTTGGCCATCGCCCAAATGTACTTCATGCCGATTGCAAACAAGTGATTGTGGACATGTGTGATCTCACAATTTGTGATGTGTCCCATCCTACATGTATATAGTCCGCGGCGAGAATGTTTGACCATCTAACTAACAGCGTTAGCGGAACAAAGAGCTTAGGAATTGTGCGCAATAAATCAACGCGTCGATGTACCTCGACTCCTGTACGAACTGGCATGAGCGTTATGCAATTAGTACATCTGTTGGCTCCCCCAAAAGCAGCCAATTCTTCCTTTTCAGGGGACAAGAAATCAATCAGAGCTTTGCATTGCTGGAAAGAAGGAGCTTCTGAGACATTAGCTTGCTCACGACGCGAAGGTTTCGCCGTATCCAGTGACTTCGGTGATGAACCGAAAAAAATCAATAACAAGAAGGTCAACGAGGAGCTCGAGAAGGGTTTTATCAATTACGTATACAACCCACCACGCGAGCTCAAATCTGGCCACTTTCCACCACCTGATCAAACAACAGCGCAGCTTATTGATAAGTATCGCAAACTTGCTGTCGGCAAATTGCCTGACATTTTTTAGTTCTTCATCTATATTTCTTAATGAGAGCTTTGTAAGTATTGATTCTGTTTTAAATTATACGACCTTAACCACGGCAAGTGCCTTAGTTATCTTGAGAGAACGATTTAAAAGTCCGGATCCCAATCACACTCGCCGCCTGGATCTTCAACTTCGTTGCGAAAGTCCTCGAAATTTGACGTGTCAAAATCGTCGAGGACCTGTGGTATAATAGGTGGCTTCATGCTTTTAGACGCCAATCCGTCCCAGTCAAATTTTGAGAACCAGCGGTGATTTATGATATCATCCATTCCATGCTTCATATTACCAAGTCGTCGTGCTGGGTTTTGACATAGTAATTTTTGTACAAGGTCCACACAAGTTCGGCTGTATACGTTTGGAAATATAAAAGACAAAATGATCACTTTGAATCCGATGTCAAATGCGAAGAGCTACGTACCTGGTAAAGGTCGGAAATTTGACGTTTCCTTGAATAATCAGAGTATACGTTTGCATTGGGTCTCGTGCACAAAATGGGGCAGAACCCGTCATGAGCTCGAAAATGAGGATACCTAAAGCCCAGTAGTCAACTGCCTTATCGTGACCTTTGTTCAAGATAATCTCGGGCGCGAGGTAATCCGGTGTACCACACAACGTCCAAGTGCGGTCCGTCACAACTTTAGCTAGTCCAAAGTCAGCAAGTTTCATATAACCTTGGTTATCTAATAAAATGTTTTCAGGCTTCAAATCACGATAGATGATGCTCTTTGAGTGCATGTGTTGAAAGACAAGCACGACACTGGCAATGTAGAACCGCGCTACAGATTCTTTAAAGTGGTCTGTTCGTCGTAAATATGTGAAAAGTTCTCCTCCAAGCGCCAACTCTATCAAGAAATAAATGTGTGTCTGGTCTTTGAACGTTGAGTACAACTTTAAAATGAAGGGATGATCTAGTGAAAGCATCACCAGCTTTTCGTTAAGGACATGCTCTTTCAAATTGTTCATAACGATGTGTGACTTTATCAAGCACTTAAGTGCATAGGCGCGATTTGAAGCTGCGTGACGCACAAGTCGCACCCGTCCGAATGCCCCTCGTCCCAGTGTTTGCAATACCTCTAGCTCATCTCGTGAAATTGATTTGTAGTACTTGTACTCAGCGGCTTCATGTAACTCTTCAGTAATTGTTCTTTTATCAGCCTGATCACAGCTTTCCAAGCAGACTGGTTCTCGATCCATCAGCTCTTGAAGAGTGCCTAGCATTGCAATAAAATGAGCGCGTTCAAGCGTGATACATTGTACTCTTGTCGTCGCAATGCAGGTTGCCGATCTCATTTCATCTCGAAAAAGAGCCATTTCCCCAAAGTGGTCACCAGCTTTTAACTTCCTTATTACATTATCCACTCCGGTATTCACGTCCACTTGCTTGACAACGATCTCACCTTTATTGATGATGTAGAACTTCTCGCCCACTTCTCCCTGTCGTACAATAACAGCATTCTCCTCAAACTCTTCCCAGTCCATTGCGGCCGCAACATGCTGCAATTCAGACATTGTTAGTTTGTTTAAAAGTTCTATCTTCTGTAACACCTGAAGTGTCCGGTTGAGACGATTAAGTTTGTGTGAAGCCAGAATTTCACGAAAAGTGTTACGTTCAATAGCCCAAAGGTCCGCTTCAGTCACAGCCCGAATCGTGGCAGCTCGCGGCATATTGTACAGTAGTGCTAGTTCTCCAAACCCAAGACCTGGCCCTAAAAAACCATACCGAATCGGCGGGGCATCGCCTGTAGATACTAAAATTTCAAGTTGTCCGGTCTCGACTGCATAAAAGTTATCTCCTTGCGCTCCTTGTTTTATCACCACGTGCCCTGGATCAATACGCATTGGCAAAAAAGCGTTCAGACAGTCTTGAATCTCACCATGAGACTGACCTTGAAACAGAACGTTTGACTGCAAAATCGTGAGTAAAAGTTGCCTAGACTTTTCTCCTTTTGGATATACCACGCGCTCATTTGTAGCCATAATTTTACGACTTGGCATCACATCTGCACTCACTTCGGCACGACGCGATTTGCCATCGGAAAAAATCAAGTCATGTTGTCCTGAGGAAACTTTTTCGTCATCACGTAAACCATTGTGACTCCTTGCGTCCAACTTTGATTGAGTAGTACCTTCGTACAACGCTTCCTTTGCTTCATAATGAAATGTGTTCACGCTGTCAAGTCTTTGTGAAAGAGGCCCTGGCACTAATTCAGCAAGCGACACACGTCTATCGTCCTTCTTTCGCATCATTGATGACATCCCATGAGCATCAGCCGCATCATTAGAAAACGATTCGAGACTACCATTAGCCAGTCGTTCCTGCAATGTGCGAATGACCTGATCCTTTATTATCAGCTCCTTGGTGATGCGATCAAACTCTCTCTTGGATACACCTCCACCCATCGAACCCAATCGGTCAGATAGGTGTTCGAGCACTATTCTCAGACTAGTCAGAAATAGAGATGTTATAAACAGCGCATATAACGTGCTTACCAAGTACACACTGTATGGCTTCACTTTAGATGACAAAGCCACCGCTCTGAGCCTCACGCATCACAGCCACACTTTCATCTCACATCTCATTGCAGTTTAGCTACATTTTGAACTGGCGAATAGTTTGGTCCACCCCTAAGTTCATAATCATCGAAGCGCATCCTGCATCTCGCACTGATTTTGCTATATTGCTTTTCGGCGCGAACGAAATGCTACCGACGTCTCACTTGTTCTTTTCAACCGAATAGTGCACCTTTGGAGAGTGCATGTGACAATTACATCCGCATGGTGTTCCAAAAATTTGGTCAAGTCAGATGTGAGACTTGTCTTTGTGGTGATCTCACCCAAATACTTGACCCGTCTGGTTTCACCTCCGACAAAATCGCGGGAGAGAGCGATCGATAAAGCAGTGCTGGAAGCCACACATTGTAATGCAACAGCAACCGGCGTTTCATGCTTAAGGTGACTGTCAGGATCCAAAGAGAAACCGCAAGGAATTAAACTTTACACCTACTTTGTCATTCTAGGACTGCTCCTCTATCACTAACGAAAAGGTGGACGTGATTCTCAACCCAGGTGGTGACAATAGTTCGAGATAATTCAATCATTAGGGTTCGTCTCCCCTTTCCTGATTGCCTAACGTTTACAAGTTATCTAACTTGTGATGTGGCAAGCCCCGACCAGCTCCATTCAGTTTCGAAGGAATCAGTACATCACCCTCATTATTTGATAAGCTTTGAAATACAGCAAGTGACTTAAAAAGTGTTGAAGGTCATGAGGATAATCGCTCCTGCTCCTCCGTCCGGTCCTTTTCGGTACAGTGAGCCTGCCATTCCCGAGACTTGTGATCTATCGATTCAGCTGCCTTCTGGCGCGAATCGCAGTAGCTTGGCAGTGCTTGTCAATCCCACGTGTCTTAACGATCCCATTGAACTGCGCGACAGCTACACGAGCGAGGCCTGCGGCTTTGATGTGCTTAACTATTGGAGCGTGGATGTGGACTATGAAGCATCAGCAAGCGAGATTATGACTCCCACTAGCTGCCAGCATCCGTATCAAGGTGTAACTATTGACGTGAACAGTCATTCGATTAATAATCAAGGCGTGGTCATGTACCATGTAGATATCAAAGGTCCAAACGGCATTCTATCTACTTATACGATCCGTCGTCGCTTTCGAGCTTTTAAAAATTTGCACACTGAGCTCAGTCGACTTTTGCTGGAGTACAAGAACTCTCATACTCAATCAAATGCCACATTGGTAGACAGAGCGCCGTATCCATTAGATGGACTGGAAAATCACATTCCTTTGAGCCCACACAGCGCAGTAGCAATGAAGGGGCCACCTGTGTCAAATACTGATTACACAACAGTCACGTTTCCTTCGTTGCCCAATGCAGGAGTGTGGAGTTATTTAAAGCGCCACGATGTGCGACTTGTAGAACAACGCAAGAAGCGTCTTCAGGAAATTCTTAGACTTGCAATTCGCCACCCAGCGACCAAGAATAGTCCTGTGCTCGACGAATTTTTGAGTGTAGCTCCTAGTGAAATTTCGCAACGAGGGTCTTCCTACGTGTCACTACAGGACTATAGTGTACCTGTGTTTGATCGACAACGCGAGTCCATTGAGCGACGACAGAGGAAGCTGAGGGTGCTGGAAGATCGACGACTTCGAGCAGGTTCTGATAGCCAATTCGGAGAAATCACACCAGTAGGTAGGGGGGCATAGTTTTGGCTTCATTGACATAGCAAGGCGGTCAAAGACATAAACGGCAGGTAATTTTATCGAACACCATAATCTTGATTTGATGTGCTTTATATGTCTCAATTATGGAAGTATAAAAAGACATTAATCCTGTACGAGGCATGAGGAGGGTACGCTTTCAAAACGCATAGATTACCACATATGAAATCCACAACACTTAGCACTTCATGATTATAGCGTTTTGTTGTCTAAAATTGAGACCGTAGGCCGCCTTTACTCTTGCCAATGTGCACGGGCAATTTAGGCTTTGAATCCTGGCCAAATCGCTTTGGTTTTCGAAATAAAATGCGACGATCATCTACTGCGTCCGTCTTTGGCTTTTTAATCTTCATCTCGGATGACGAGGAAGACGGTAGACCAACTGTCCCTGAGCTACCCGAGATGACATTGCTGACTTCTTTCGTACGGTAGAAATCTGGAACGAGTTCGACAAGCCAACGTGGGTCAATTCTGGATACGTCGCGAACAAACTCTTCAGTAGTGAGCACGCTCTGGTGAAAGATGATCCAATCTGGGAGGCTCCCCATGTGATAGTAAATCGATGTTGGATGTAACTGCACTGGTCTTTCGTCGCGGAGAGTGCGATAGACACCATCAGCGTGTAACTTAGCGGCGTTTGCGAAATATCCAGTGACCAAGCATCTGCGAATTTTAGCACTGCGAGCCTTGTCTTCGTCTTCATTACAGCTGCTGTTCAAACTCATAATTTCGTCCTCGCGATTGATGTCAATAGGCTTGAAACGCGTCACGTATTGCCTTAGGTGCCGACGAATCTCTGTAGCACGCACGAGTGCACGATAGCTCAGTAAATTTTCATCGCACCATGCTCGACTTTTGTTATTCTCCACGAATTCATTATAAATAGAAATGTACGTCATATGGTCGCCATCCGGATGGGCAAAATGCTTCAAGGCTTGTGCCAGTTGTTCTTGTCTCTCTTTTGAACCACGTGGATTCATAAAAAGATCTCCTACGGACAACACACTAGCGATGCTGACCATCTCATGCGTGCAACTAAAACGAAAGGATGCTAACAACACTTTTGCCAGGGTCGGCGCTACTGGAAATTCAGCCATTTGCGTGCCCAATGGATCCAAAAGACGGCACTCTTCGTCAATGGCACCCAGCGAGAACAACAGTTCCAATGCTCGGACAAGAGCCTCAGGTGAAGGAGGCGAGATAAAATCAAAGTGTGCTAGATCATGTATTCCCATGCTTAGCAAATACAAGGCCACAGTTGCTAAATTTGTCCGCTGCATCTGTGGAATCGTTTCTTTCGCAAGCTGGGTGCGAAAGTGGTCTTGCGTGCAAAGTCGAAAGCATTTTCCTGGACGTGAACGTCCTGCGCGACCTGCTCTTTGCTTTGCTGATGCTTTGGATAAAGGATGTGTAATAAGCGCTTCGACTCCAGTTATCGGATTATAAAAGGCAAGCTTTGTAAAGCATCCGTCGACCACATAAACGACACCTTCAATTGTCACAGACGTTTCAGCAATGGTGGTAGCTACAATCACTTTTCGACGCACGCCTCGAGGAGCTGGCAGAAATGCGTTTTGTTGCATACGTAATGGCAAAGTCCCGTACAGTGGAACGGAAAGGATGTGTGTTGGTGCTCTATCATTCAGTGCTCTGATAACAAAATCAATCTCTTCTTGACCAGGCAAAAAGACCAACACGTCGCCTTCACCTTCGTGTTCGTCAATAGCCAGAACAGTATCGATAGCTTTCTGCAAAAAATCTCCACAAGGTTCCTGAAGATACTCGATGTCAACGGGATATTGTCGTCCTTCAACTGACACCGCAGCAACATCCATTAGCGTCACTTGTGTGTTTCTTAGAGACGACTGACCCTGTTCACGTGCTTTATCTTTCTTGCTTCGAAAGTATCTCACAAACGTGTCCACCTGCAATGTAGCAGAAGCGATAATCACTCGTAGATCTGGTCTCTTTCTCTGGATCTTTTTGATTAGTCCTAATAGCAAATCCGTCTCCAGATTACGCTCATGTGCTTCGTCCTACGAAACCAATGACGCAGTCAGCCCGAACGTTCTCGTCATTATACTCTAGAAGTCAATCCAATATGAGTGCTCACCAGCATGACAACCGAGTAACGCAACAGCAACGGGTCTCGCATTGTCTCTCTCAGCAACAAGCCATCCGTGACGAATTTAATTTTGGTCCGCACTGGATCCCACTTTTCTTCAAATCGAACTGCATAACCCACATCCTCACCCACATTACAGCCTACTTCTTGGGCTACGCGCTCTGCGATTGTCACAGCTGCGACGCGCCGCGGCTGTGTGCATACGATGACCCTATTTCGTGGTTCTGTTGAATTTCTATGTGGGCGAGATGCAGCCCAACCAGCTTCTAGCAAATACTGTGGCACCTGCGTTGTTTTGCCGGAACCAGTGGCACCCACTATAATTGTCGTAGCGTGTGTTTCGACCGCGTATAGAATTTCGTCACGGTGCTTTAACACTGGCAGTTGATTACGTTGGGCACGCAGAGGAATCCCATGTAGCGGATTAAATTGTACAGCTAAAACCTCTGCATCCTTGGGAAGATCTCGAGCTGCCTCCGCCTCGGCATCAGCACCTGGAAGTGTTGTGCCAGGCCGCCAAAATGCACTCATAAAGATGCTGGATACAAATTATGGTCACTTTTGAGCTATGTTAGTTACAAATATCAGAAAAATTGCGAAAAATCATTGTAGACATATTTGTAAAGAACATTGACCGGTTAAATTTCTACATGGACCGCGTTATACTAGCATTTTATCGGATGGCTGGTCCAAAGTGTTCCTTATCCTCCAATCGGCTGAACTAGCTTATTACACAGGGAGCGTAGTAAATACCGAGTCACCATGGTAAGCATGCGTTATCTTTAAGCTGAATCAGGGTGATGGCAAATCAATCACAACGGAGCTGCTGCTCTGTTGTGACGCTGTACAACATGATGGAAAGAGAGAAAATAAAAGCCATTGAAACGGCCTTAAACCCACAGCTGCAGCATCATGCTGTCACCCTATGCAAGTTCTTACAAGAAAATGTTACGGTGCTAACGTCTGTGCTTTTGTCTTGCTGATGATGCCGTACAGCCGCCAAAAACTCAGCAGAAGACCAAGGAGCAAAAGATGGCTGCCGCCATGGCAGGTGGTAAGGGCAAAGGCAAAAAGAAATGGTCCAAGGGAAAGGTTCGCGAGAAAGTCGCCAACAAGGTGTTGTACGACCAGGAGACATACGAGCGTTTGTTGGTTGAGGTCCCGAAGATGAAGCTAATCACTGCGTCAGCTATCGTGGAGCGCCTTAAAGTGAATGCTGCACTTGCCCGCGCTTCGATCCACGAGCTAGAAGAGAATGGAAGCATTACCAAGGTACTTGGTCACCACGCACAGCTGATTTATACTCGTGCTGTTGCCGTTGAAGAGTAGGCATACTTTATGCTGTCAGTACCTGAAATCTACTCGATGGAGTGCTTGGCGTCCTGCTTAAAAACCTTATGCTGTTGCTGAGCTACAAATTTGCTGCTCTGTAAGATGAATGATAAAGGCACGTGCAATGGTAGGAGAGTGTGGTCTTTTGGGAAATTTCGCAGTAAAAATGCGAAAATGGAACAAATCCCACCCTGTTTAAATTACTCATTGTGTTGTCAGATTGTATTTCCCTCCTTATTCTCGTCGAATAGGTTGGCGAAAGCTTTTTGCTGCTTCTTGCGAAGCTGGGTTTTGGCCGCTTGTGCTTTCATCAATATCGATTGAAATAACATATTTTCTGGCTCCAGCTTGCACAGCTCTGTTAAATCAGCCACAGCCAAAGTGAACTCCTTGAGCAATACATACGCCAGGCTACGACGATAGCGAGATTTGACATGTGCGTAGTCCAGCTTTAAGGCATTCGATGCCGCAGCAATACATCGATTTGCGTTGCCATCGCCCTTCATTTTCGAATAACAAGCAGCCATATTTGCGTAACATGCTACTGCAACCACGCGCACCTGTTTCGATTCTTCCTCTGAGTAGTGAACTGGTGGCTCAAGCCATTTCAACGCTCGTTTGTAGAGGCTTATTGCAGTCTTGTACTTATTCAGCTTAAACGCTTCGTTGCCACGCATTCGATAATCAGAAGCACGCTCGATTTTCCAGGAAAACCAGTCGGTGTCCTGCGTATCTTTACCTATAAAATCACTACTCTCTAGTTCAAGCTTACAATACAAAGTTGCTTTGCCGTCAAGACCCAATTTTACAGCTCGAGAGCCCAAAGTGAGGTTTTCCACAACAACCGGAATCGCTTCATTGCGAAGCATGGGCAATGGACTGCAATGACCATTGCCGGCTCGGAGCTGATCCAGAAGATTCTGCAATTGTCGATGAAGGTCTGGAGTAAGATGGATACCGGTCGGGTTTTGGATGATATCGGGCGGATTTGGTGCTGCATGAATTTTTAAAGGCTGAACATGTTCAATGGGAAAACAGTCACTTAGCACTAAAGCAGCATCAGAGCACTCTTTATCTCTGTAGAGTGCCCAGCGGACGCGACCTGCGCTCACAATCATCGTTTCTATTACTGTTATATACTGAAATGTAACCATGGCTACACATACCTAGCGTGTTACGCGTACCCTACACAGATAATGAGTGCAAATACCCAGACGACCATGTTGAAAGTTGTATGAGCGCTGTTACATGGGTACAAACGATCCCATTCGTAACGTAGGCAATTAAAGTCCTCAAGCTCGCAGCCCCAATGTCCACATTCGCTAAGATGGGTGCATAATAGTCTAGCAGAATTCTCAAGACAGAAATCGTGTTGGACGAATGTTTCGGCTGAAACCTCTGCACACGTGCAGTGTGACAACAACATTGCCGTCTTGTGCAGTTCATCGTTGCGCAGACACTCATCCGAGCACATGACCATAGCAAGATCCTCTTGCGGAATTGGTCCATACCATCCAGCTCGAGCATGCTTTAGGTGTACAATGCGTGACTCGCATAGAGCAGCCATGATAAAGATATCATGTCCATCTTTTGACTCGATAAATGCGTTGTAAAGGTCCAAATCGCATTGTAAACCATTTGCGAGACGCCGAGCTACCGAATCACTAGCATTGTGCGATACTTTTGACTGAAACTGCGTCGTCACCTTCGATGATAGCACCACTGCACCCAAGACGCAATAAAGCTTAGCAAACAATGTAGCATTCGTAAGTACGATGCTGCGCATGTTTGCGTCGTTTGGGTAATTGAATCCGTGCATAGACTGGTTTATTGTGTAGCATACTTGAGCTATTGAAAGGCTAAATGGAAGAATACTTGCTACACCATTGCGTCACATCTGGCGTGACGAGGACTACAGATGATGCATCAAGTTGGCAAACATCAGGACGAGCAGAATGCGTTCTTGTGGAAGAAAATCATCAGGCTCACGGCTCCTCAAGAGTTATTTTGTCGGCAATGCTTAAACTCGTGGTGCAGTCCTCCAAGACGACGAATGTGCTGCTGCTCACGCTGGTTCTAGTGCAATTATTTTCCGGGATAAGCTGGATTATATACTAAATAATTGCTCGCACTGTCATGTGAATATCATAGGACTCACCTGAAGTAGCGCGAAGTACTCACACCTCGGCCAAGCTCACTCACATTGACTACTCAGCTGATGCTGCAAACTTTCAGCCGTCATCCTTTCCCGAGTCGCAACTACTGGAAAAGATATTGCAGGATATCAAGCGGGTAGAAGAAACGATCAAGTTCAAGGAAGGGATGTCGTCACGACCGATGGTTGTGGTTTTGGACTCGCTGAATGTGCTTTTACAGCAAATCTCACTTCAGCAAGTATTACGTTTTCTTCGACAAATTCGTAGAAACACTGTTGTTGGATCCATCATTACACGATTAAATGCTGGTGCCGAGTCATTTGAAGCCGCACAGGCTTTGGCAGCACAGGCGACAGCGTTAGTACTAGTGGAAACACATTCCTCCCTTACCTCCTATCCACTTTTATCTCAAGAACGAAGGCGTGACATACCGAAAGGGATGCATGGATTAGTAAAGCTGATCTGGCAGAAAAAGGTAACAGTTATTCTTACAAGGATATAATTCAGGCTAACGAGCCCGCGCCATACTTGCCACTTATTGTTTCATGACTGAATTTAGAACGGCCGAAGTAGTGAAAGTGTCGAGTACTTTCAAGTGCTGTCCAATCAGGTGCACTTTGTTGCCACCACAAATGTTAAGGTATCGGCTGATACATCTTCAAAATCTAGGGATCTGAATCAAACAGTCGATTCTACAAAGTCTGATGCTAAGCGAAAGTGCCAGATAGATGCGGAGCCGTCATCGATCCTCGACTTGAATACCAATAAACATGTGAACCTTCCTGTTCATCAAGAAGAGGTGACCTTTGACTTATCCATCACCGCTGAAGAGCAACATATCAAGAAGCAAGTTGATTTGCCGTACACACATCATGTTCAGCATGACAACGACCGTGGCTCAGGCGGTATCGACGACAAAAGCGGCAATATTACCGGTCGCAATCAACCGTTATTCTTTATTGATGACGATGATCCAGATTGGGATGATGATGATCTTGATGACGACTTGGATGTCTGAAGAAATGTAATGCCCATTATCATGCTGCAACTCGTACTGTTCTACGTAAACGTAATCTACTGTTGCTATTGGTCTTAGTATTATTAACGATCTTAGCTACTTATCGTCAGCATAAGCGTATCACTACCTAGATACTTTTGTTCATCTTCCTATTTTTTCTAATTCAGAAGATTAATGAAGGAAACTAATTCTAGAGTTGTAGATTTATCGATCGGATCGCAGGTAAAACAATTGGAAATTGCGCCGTATCTATCAGCAAAAATCTCATAACAAGAAAATTCAAACAGGTGCGCTAACGAAAGAGGCATTGCCTCACACTGTTGTTAGATTTATTTTACACACACGTGACCAGCGCTCACGCGAGTTCTCGTCATTCATTTTCCATTTAGCTTTGTCGAAGAAAGCACCCAATTCAAATCCAATGTGTTCAAGGTAAGACGCGTCGCAACACAACCTATAACAATCTGCTTCTTAGACTGTTAAAGATGTCATTTACCAATAAAGAACAGTCTCTCTCGCTCCACGAAGTCTTATGATATAAGATCTTGAAATGCCTAAGAGGCACTTTGACGTATTTGAGTTGCTCCTCGAAGCGTTGTCGAACACGATCCAAAGCCGAAAGATGATAAACAAAAAAGTTCCTGATCGATAGTACAGCAAGGTTTCGATAATTGCTCTGGAATTGCCTGCTAATCACGGGATAAAATGCTATAAGGGTAACAGAGGGTGTTCCATGCATTGGATCACAGATATTTTCTAAAAAAACATATAAACCATACTAACTGAAGTTTGCTGGCTGGAATTTTAAGGAAATAGCTTACGATTAAGGTTAAACAATTTCGCCACACATGATGCTAAAATAACATCAACTTCTCGACAATATCTGGAGCACTAACACAATTAAACAAGATACCACGCGAGCTATAATTCTTTTTACACGTCGAAGAAACCGTTATGAATTTGAATGTCAACAATAAAGGTGATCGAGTCGCCATTCAACGCTACCGATACAACCGCACTCCCTCTATCGATCGAATGTAATGAAGTATTGAAGCTTTATCAAACTCGTTCAATGTTGTGATAATGAAATTCGAAAACTGATTACCGGTGGAATACATAACGAGAGGCCTTGAATGTGACCGCATTACTTCATTCTAACCCTTAATATGAAGAGGTCACTGTCGGGAGTAATAGTAACATGATAAGTCACTCCTTCTGGGTGCGGACGAGAATATATTATCTAAGCTTTGGTAGCCATCGGCTCAGTTCGCGCTAGGATACTGAGCATACCCTTTAAGAACTCCAGCGCCGGCAATGGCACAATGAATGTCGAATGATGTGAATTTGCATGATTTTCCCACTACCTTGAATCGTATCTGTTTTCAGAAATAATAATGTGCTATCTAAGGGATATGGAGTGTTTGATTTGCCCATGACAATTCTAGTCAGCTTGGCGATAGCTATGCATTAATTTCCTGTCTAGGTTTGTTTCAGTGATGAAGTATTAACTGCAGCAAGCTCATGTTAGAAGTGTTAGAAGCATGTAATGAAACTAAAACAGTAACGCGTATAATCTGCTATGTCAAACTAACAGCGAAAAAAAAAATCCTAATTAATTGCTCCAGCCACCCATCGCTGCCGCAAATGCAAGTCAGAGCCCACACGCAGATCTTCGAGCACATTTTTCCACACTCTCCAAAAAGCCTTACTCAGGCTTGTTCGTTGATGTATTCTCCGCTTGTTTCAGCTGCTGACTAGTTGGTGGAGCTTTACCCGATTCCATCAGCTTCTCTTTCTTCTTTTCTTGAGCTTTTCCAAAAGCCGTCTGACTCCACAACTTTTCAAATTCTTCGGGCGTAACCTGAGAGCAGATCGTGTGATGTTCTCCTTCATCGTTGCCATTCTTACGATTCCAAATAGTCTTCAAATGTTTTCCCATTACTTCACGTTCGTGCTCAGCTTTCAGACGCCCCGTTGAGTCTTCGTAGCGGCGTCTTGTGCTCATGACCTTGCGTCCTTCTTCGTCTAGAACCGAGGAGCTACTGAATGAATACGACGAAAATGCGCGTTGGTTCTCTGTCTCGGGTGTCAATTCCTTCTCTTTCTGCTTCTCCGTCGTTGGCAGATCCTTGAAAAATTCATCATCCGAACTTACACCAGGCACGCTACTCATACTCATCGACAATTGTGGCAGTGTGCTCGCATCCATTGTTGAAAGCTCCAGCATAGACATTGGATGCCACAGCGTCGGGTGCACTAGATCCCACGGAGAAAACATATTTGACCTGGTCTCGACTCGGACAATTTGAAATTGATTCATGATCAGTGAACATACGAGTAAGTCCTGTCGCCCAAAGGGACGGGATGGTTGATTTCAACGGTAGTGTCACGTGTGGGAAAATCGTACACTCAACCACCGTTAAAACAATCAGTCGATCATTCTACGCGTATTGTGCTTTATACTTTAGTAGAAAGTTTTTTCTATTGATGCATCATCGAGGTTGATGATTTCGCCGAAATCCCTCAGTTACAGAAAAACGCTCTCAGAATTACAGCAAAAATTTAGATATAATTATGTTATACTACAAATTTGATCAGACCACAAATAGAGAGCATAGTAATGTAATCGTTATCAGTCCTTACGATAAAAAAAGCAAAAACAGCGCCCAGTCATTTCGGAAAACACGCTTGGCTGTTAACGTGATCAGGAAGCAAGATGCTTCGTGATGCTGCTGTTAAGTTGATGTGCTGATATTAGCTGATTGGTAGTAAAGCGGTAGAAGGTGCCTGGTTAAGTCGTACCTAAGTAAACCAGGAGGAGTTATGAAACGCCCAACGATTTGCATAATTAGCTAGCTAGAAGCAGAATACATTTACTTAA